CCTTCCGACCTTTGTGCATAGAATTGTATGAATGTGAAAGTGTTGTTTATCAATGCAAGTTATGATTTGACATATTTCGAGTCGACTAGTAGGATTGAGCGTTCATTGTTTTATACACACGAGAGTGTGAGTTGGGAGGGCATTGTTCACATTAAAGGGGTTGGATGAAGAGCGATCGAGTACATCTTTTACTCGCCACAAAAATGAGAGTCGAGTGTGTGAGCACTAGTCTTGAATTCTATATGCTCTTGTGGTTTGCTATATTTGACAATTGTTAGGGAAGAAAGGTAATTAGATGGATTTGATTGGTTGACTTTGAAGCATGTTTATTTGATTTGCCCTGGATCGTTTGTGCTTGATTTGTACTTTTGGGGTGAAGCATATTTATTGATTCATTGATGAGATCTTTGCTTAGGGACAAGCAAAGGTTTGGCTTGGGGGAGTTTGATGTGTCTATTTTATATAGTATTTTACCCCCGTCCCTCGGTCATAATTAGTAGTGTTTTTAGCTCTTTAGAGCCACTTTTATTACTAATTGGTGTTTTTCAGTGTTTTCGTAGATTTTGTTGACTTTTGCAGGGATTTATGCTTTTGGAGTATTTTCCCGAGATATTTTGGAGCAATCACGAGCATTGGAGAAACACGACCAGATTTTATAGCCCAGGGCCGGTTAGAGCCATCGAACCGGTGATTAAGGGCTCGGTATAGGTGATACCGGGGCATTTGGACCGAGTATTCAAGACCCAAAGAGGAAACCCAGATTGGCCCGAAGAATTGGAGCCCAATCGAAGTCCAAATATTGGCCCAAATGAGCCGCCCGGCCAAAAAGGCTGGCGCCCGGAGACGCGCCCGGCCGGGCGGGAGAAGCTTGGTCTGGCGCCCGGTGACGCGCCCGGTCGGGCGCGAGATTAATGTTAGAGTCAAAAAGGCGCGCCCGATCGGGCGGTGCTTCGCCCGATCGGGCGCGTGTATTTTTAGGAGACGATTAGCGTCGTTTTAATTTGTTTTAGTTTAGGATTTTTGTACGGAGTATAAATACTCCTACGTAATACGATTTTAGTATCTCTTCTTTCTTAGACTTTCTCTCTCTACTTAATTCTCTCTCTTAATCTCTCTCTAAACTTTTGTTCTTAATTCTTTCATTAATTCCAGATTTATTTTGGTAACGATTTCTCTTCCCTTAATCTTAGTTATTTATTTTATTCCTTTCATCATGATTTATTTTATTACTTTGATTAGTTTAATTTTTAATATGTGTGAGTAGTTTAATTTCTAGGGTTTATGGGGATCTAATAAATAATATGAAGGGGCAATTTATTGTTGTTGATTATCAATGCTAGATTAATTTCCTATTGATTGGATTAATGCTCTGTGACTAGATTAGGCCTATCTTTTATGCATGAGTTTGACAATATTGATTCAAGAATCGAGAGATGAGAATTAATGTTTAGGTCTAGTTTCAATAGGCAAGTTAATTTGTAAATGGTTAACTCAAGATTCGAGAGATGAGATTTAATACCGGTAAATTAATTGTGTGATTGTAATAAGTAGCGAGAGCCCTTTACAATCTGGTTAATTGATGCATTGATGATTGACTATTATTGATTATTGGTATTGCATGATAATTTCTTATTGGATTGTTTTAATGTTTTACAATTGCGGCTTGTAAAAGTATAGCAATATTAAATTGATGAATCGAGCAAATGTTAATTTGATATTAAAGGCTATTTTCAATAAGGACTTAGATCTAGTAAATTGCGAGAGCCTGTTAGATCTATGTGGATTAATAAATTGCGAGAGCCTGTTAATCATGTTATTTATGCAATGTCAATGATTGATTACTATGTTTTACCCTGGAGTATTATTTATTGGTGAACCTACGCCCTAGATCCCTTTATATATCGTTCTCTCCCTACTCTTATTCTTTGTAGTTTAGTTTCATACTTAATTATAAATATTGGTCACTTAAATAATTTAGATTATAATAATTAATTAGAAGTAAAAAGACTTGTTTCCCTGTGGAGATCGACCCTACTTCCCTATCTACCTTAGTTAGTGATTTAGGTAATTATTTTTGATTAGGGGATACGACTTTACCCTGTCAGAAGGCATGGAGTACAACATGTTAGCAATAGAATTAAGCTTGGCATGAATTGTTGACATATCGAAAGTAGGAAGAGTGGGGGAGGGAATAGATGTAAGTCCCGGTTCAACCGGGGAAAGAGAATGATGAGCAATCGATGAGCATGCATTAGTTGAACGAACTCTTGTACAATTTGCCCTTCGTTGATAGAGGGATGAACATCTCGCATTGGAGGCCTCCATGACAAAGAATCTCTCTCCTCGGGACGAGTAGTTGCCTTTTTGCAAGGGATGACAAACCATTTCTTATACCGAGAGACCTTCCAAATAAAAACATCGTCCCTTCTCGTTCGATAAAGAAATTTTTGATTCACTAGTGCCGAGATGTTAAAGAAATGCGAGGGGGACTTTTCTCTAGGATCAATAATCTGTGGAAGCTCGTCTAGCATAACCTTGTAATTCTCATTGATGAAAAGCGCTAGAATAGAAATCATCCCACCCAATTGGATGTATCCCAAAAGGCAAACTCCATCACGGATATCCAAGAATCGGGAGATCAAATGCTCCATGAAATCAACCAACTCAATCTCAAAGTCATTTTGGTCGGCTATCCACAACCAACAAAGCTCCTCACGGCAAATAGCTCCCAAAGAGTCCTTGGAGCAAAGAGCGTATGTGAGGATTCGGTTGAAGTATCGCATAGCCGGATGAATCATGGAAGCGGACTTTGAAGTTTGAGGGTCATACTCTCCTTCTTCCGAGATACTCCACCAACGTTGCTCATCATATCCATGATCACTTGCCATTCTACTATGAGTCGGAGAAATACAATGATTAGGATCCTCGGCCCAAGGAAACTTGAAGTATGAACATAGTTGAGCATCCATCAAAGAGTGATCATTGTTGAAGAGTTGGAAAGTCAAAATCTTAGAGTAATTTGCACCCGGTTCATGAACAACCTCGAGAAGAAAAAGGAATTCATAAGTCACCCAAGCATAGGTAGGGGCATTCAAATCCAAGAAGTCCAAAAGATCAAGGCCTTCCGCAAGGAGGCGAACATCCGGGTTAATCCCTAAAAACTTTGTTGTCGTTTGATCATAGAAACGCGTTGGCCTAAGCTTTCTCTTTGAAAGACGTTTGAAGCACTCCCAATGAGATTCCTTTGAAAACTCAATGCCAAAAGTTTCCTCAACCTCCGGTGGAGGCGGAACAATATAGCTTAGCTTGCTTGAACTAGCTCTAGCAAGCTTCTTATGACGAAGTGTGGCCATCTACAAAGTATCAAGACTAATCATAAGTAGTTGTTCAACAAGCACAAAATGGAAATATTTCACAATAGAAGCAAGAAATGGTAACAAATGAACAATGCCACTGATAAAATCATGAATATTAGGCATACAATCATGGATTGAAAGCAAACTTGAACATAAGAAACCAATTCATGAGTCAATTTGAAAAATAAATCCCAATCATTGAATTATTAAAGATAAGAAACTAATATAAAGAAAACCCATGAGAGAGAAAATAGCCAACAATTATTATTCAAGAATTCAATCAAAGTTCATACATTTATAATAAGGAAACTTCAATTCAACATCCAACGATATCATTCAACATAAATTCCAAGTGAAAAGTACTAACCATAGAATTTCACCATGAAAGCATAAAGGTTCAAGCTTTAAATCAAAAAGGAAGATGATGAATAGACAATGAGAAAACATACCTCAATGAAGCCTTGAAAAGCTTGAAAAATGCTCAAAATGGAGATATAAGAACAAATAAGATTCCCAAAAACAAACTCCAAACCTCAACACAAAATTTCAAAATTTTAAAAAAGACCCTTTTTTTTTGTTTTTTTTTTTTTTTTTGAATTGGAGAAAGAAATCTGAAAATTTTGTTTTGTGTTGAAGATTTGAAAAACTTGATTTTGGCAATTGAAATTAATGTTGAAATGATAGCAAAAGAGGTGAAATAGGCTTGATATTGCAAGAGAGGGTATAGGGTTTTAGGAGGGGAAAATGAAAGAAATGAAAAAGGAGGTGCGTTTGGGGTTATAGGGCTACCAACAGGTGCTACGCCCTCTCCCGATAATGCTGCGCCCGCGGGTAGGTGCCCGCAGGAAGTTCCTGGTCGGATTTTGGCATCTTTAGTGCACAAGTATCGCGCCCGCAGGAAAATACCCGCGCCCGCGGGGTCTTCGCGATGCGTGCGTGCACATCTTTATGCGTGCGCACCCTCCACATCTCGGTATGGAACTAAAAAGAGAAAAACCCCTTAAAAATGCTTTCGTATTTGCATTCTCACCGTCCCTATCAAATGTCATGATCAAGGACTCAAAAAAAATTATAAGAAAGAATCCAAAATATGGTGAATAAAAATCGATGGGAATGCAAACACGAGAACATATATCCTCAACGACCCCTTTCCTCTAAGCATAACCAAACCTTACGAAGTCTTGAAGTAGCACCAAAATTGTTGGAAATTTTCTCCGATTCCAATCCCATGGGACCTAAGATTAAAAGAACAAACCAAAATAGAAAGATATAAGAAAAGTTCTCAAAGGAGGAAATAAAGAAAAATATTAAATCAAAGAAAAAGGTTAGAAAACCTGGTTGACTCCCGAGTAGCGCTTTTGGTTAATGTCGTTAGCTCAAAGTCATCCACCAATTAAGGTGGTTGGCGGAGAAACAATGATTCTACCAACCAAAAAAAGAATTGTCAAAATACTTCATTAGACGATTGCCTTTAGCCTTGAACGAAGAAAGAAAATCTTTCATTGAGACTTCCACAAAGACATTTGGAAAACCACTCTTGACCGAATTGGGATCGCTCCATCTTGATCCCTTGATGCTAAAGCGTGATGGAAAACGTTTTACCCCAACCATTGATTCACCTTCACCTTCCTTCAAAGTGGCGGCTTACAAAGCTTCTTGGCTTGAGATATTTATGCATATATGCTCATCTATTTCCTCAATGCTTCCATTAAGCAAATCCTCATACATTGTCAGTTCCTTGATAGGAGCACCTACCTTATCCTTATTCAACAAAACATTCTCAAGTGGATCATTAGAAGTGAGCAAATGCTCATGCATGGAAGATACAACAAGATCAAGAGAATCGATCAACACGCAATTTTCTAATGATGAACATGGATATTTCTTGCTCTCATTCAAGTCAAATTCAATAACCTCTTCTCCTACCTTGAGGGAAATCTTTGCACTCTTAACATCAATCATAGCACCCGAGGTAGCAAGAAAAGGTCTACCAAGAATAATGGGAATGGTAGCATCTTCATCCATTTCAAGCACCACAAAATCTACCGGAATTACAAACTTCCCTACTCTCAAAGGAACATCCTCAACCTTCCCCTTGGGAAACTTAATTGACCTATTGGCCAATTGCAAGGTAATCTTAAAAGGCATAAGTTTTCCTAACTCAAGTCTTTGATAAACCGAATATGGCATTAAGCTAACACTAGCTCGTAAGTCACATAAGGCATTATCAATTTGCATCTTGTTTATGGCACAAGGGATAGAGAAGTTTCCAGGATCTTTCAACTTGGGTGGCATCTTATTCATTATGATTGCACTACAATTCTCGGTTAAGTTGACCGTCTCCACTACATCACAAGACCTCCTACCACTCAAAATGTCTTTGAGGAATTTTGCATAATTGGGCATTTGGGTAACAACTTCGGTAAAAGGTATAGAAAGATGAAGTTGCTTAAGCATGTCAATAAATCTTCCAGATTGTTCATCCAACTTATGTCTCATGAATTTTTGTTTATATGGAATCTTGGGTTTCACAATATCTTTCTCCACTCTCACCTCTCTAGGTGTCTCAATCACAACCTCACTTAAAGATGCACCATTTCTCTCTTTCTCAACTAAGACCTCCTTAGGACCCTCCTTAGTCCCACTCTTCCTAGGCACACTCTCCTCAAGAACCTTACCACTCCTTGTAACAATAGAATTCACGGGTCTCTTGGGATATAAGCCTTGGGAAAGTAAAGAAGAAGGACTAGCATGGTCTTTCAAAGAATTAGCAAGTTGAGAAATTTGGTTTTCAAGCATCTTATTATGAGTCATCACTTCATTGAATTTTTTGTCACTTACGACCATGTAAGTGCTCAACAACTTTGTTTGATTTTCAATGATTTCCTCTAAATTAGTCCTAGAAGAAGAGGATTGTAAATAGGAATTATCAACTTGAGTCTTTGGAGCAAATCCGGGTGGAGGGCCTCTTTGAGCATTATTTTGAAAATTGCCTCTCTCTTGATTGTTCCAATTACCCCTATTTTGATTTTGACCATAACCTTGATTATGGTTACCACCACCTTGATTATGATTTCCATAACCTTGGTATTGATTACCATAATTTTGGTTTTGATTTTGGCCACTATAACCTTGATTGTTATAGTTCCCTCGAGAACCTTGGTTCCTATAACCACCACCTTGGTTATAATTGTCAAAATTACCATGGTTTTGGTAATTCCTATTCCATTGACCCCTTTGGTTATCAAACTTTTTCACATTATTATTGTTTGACACAAAGTTCACATGTTCATTCTCACTATTGTAAAAATCATCATTACTCTCCGGAAAAGCATGAGGTCAATTACTAGAATCATGATCATATGAACCATACACATCACAAAACAAACAACCACTAGGCATGTTACTAGAAGAAGGAGGGGTATGAGAGGAAGAACTCTCCCCTTAAATTGGGAGGGAAGACTTGGAGCTTGAGAAGAAGAACTCTCCAATTTTTCCTTGATTGCACTTACTTCCTTCCCCAAGTTTTCCATATGTGAAGATAGATTGTGAATTGCATTCAAATGATCAACCGAGTACACCGTAGAGCTACTCTTTCTAGTTGATTCTCTCTCATCATCTTGCCAATCTCTGTAATACTTCACAACATCCTCAATGATGTCCACCACTTCTTCTTCCGTCCTATTCATGATGGGACCACCGGCTCAACCATCTAGGCATGACTTGCCTTGGGGACTTAGGCCTCCATAGAAAATTTGAATGATTTGATAGGTTGGAATCCCGTGGTGAGGACACTCCCTTTGATACTCCTGTTGAAAATTTGAATGATTTTGCTTAAATGATGATTGATAGATATAGAGTATAAGAGGAGCAGAGAAGAGTTCTGAGGTTTGGAATTGCTTACTTGTTTGAAATCTGATTTTGGATTCATTTTGAATTTTTCTTCATAGTACATGTAATCTTTGTATGCCTATGCCTTTTTCCTACTTTTTTGAGCTATCATTTTATATACATTATCAATTATTGGTTTATTTATGGTATTGTTAGCAATTTACTTCACATTGGTAGTGGTAAAGGAAAACGACGTCCATTTGGCGATATGAATTCACACTTGACACTCGTCAAAAGTTTACAAATGTGGTGAGTGTTACCAGTGTATTGTTTATAGTTATCGTTGGCGCTTTCTTTTACAACTTTGCACATTGTTAATATTGAACTAATATTTAACATTACAAGAGCATTCCAAATTATATGACTAAGGAGGTGCAAGAACTTTGGGTTAAGAGGGGTGTGACAGATGGTGAGTTACGTCTGCATCGCGGTACTGAGAAAAAAGTCTACCCCGTCCGGTTTAGACATGCGTTTACCGGGCCGTGTCCGGGAAGTTCGAAACTTTTTAAGGTAAAGGATGGAGGGAGTTCGTCACCTCAAACAGTTTACAAATGGAAGACCGCATTCAGTTAGAGTTAGAGGATGGCGATGGAATGTTTTATCGGGTAAGGATTTGGCGTGACGAGAAAGAAATTACAATAGTGGACCCTCATGTACACATAGAGAATGATGGTTCAACAAGTTACGTCGACTCAATGGAGTATGTGCCCATGCATTTTTTTTAAACCACCCTCTTTCGAATTCACATTCTCCAAGGGTTACATTGACAATCCTGCAATCGTGAGTGTACGTATATTAACTTACCTCCATTGTTTAAATGATATTATTCTTCTTGATTGCCATTTATTTCTTAGTGTTTAACCTATCCTTTTTTATTTTGATGTTTATTACAATTCAGAACATTCCTTTACCATTCGCCCGTGCACATTTCTAAGGTCTTGAAGACCGGAATCCAATAGAACTGTATGTCAGTCGATGGTGGAAAGCAACAATGTGCATTAAGTTTGACATGAACAATAAGATTGTAACTTGCATTGTCAAGAAAGGAGTACCGGAAATGCTTGCGGACGAGGGGGTGGAACTCAGTGAAAAGGCTTTGGTTGAGTTGGAATGTATGGAACCCCCAATTTTAGGAAATTACATTCACTTGATGACATATATTTTTACAATATGGTTTCTTTCTTGGTTTATGACTCAATGGATCATAGGCTTTTATTTTTGCATATTAGGACATGATCCCTTGCACTTATTGTAATTATTAATCGGTGACTAAATGTAAAGTATTGTACTGCTTGGTTGGATGCTTTGGTTTGTGAATTTTAAGACATGATCTTGCAGGTTGTGTTTGACCTATTTATGGTCTTTCGTGGTTACTAAATTGTGCTTGCAATTTGTCTTTTTATCGCATTTTATGGTCTTTGATGCTACTGAATATATGAAAAAGTGAGTATAAATCTCAATTACATCTACTAATGACCAAACACATGTTAAAAATCAAAGTCTAACATCTTATTTGGAGTTATTTTAAATTTATGCTTTAACCGCCAAAGAGATATAATTCTTTTAGTTTTTGATTTTTTTGTTTGTTTGATTGTTTGTTTGTTTTTTTTTTTTAAAAAAAAAAAAAAAAATCGCACATCTCTTATTGAAAAGTAATTGCAATAGTAAGTTAGATACAACTAGAGCGTACTCGTACTAAAGCACGGAATATATTAGTAGTATATGTCAATGTTTTTTGTTACTACTTATTATTAATTTATTTGTGTTAATATGATAGTGGAAGTTATTGCATTTGTTGAGCAGTAGTCATGAAATAAAAAGTTATGATGGAAATTAAAATTAGTAGGTTTTTTTAATTAAAAAAATAAATGGGTAGATTTAACAAAAATTGATGATTTGGAGTTTGGAGTGTTGTGATTAAAAAAAGGGTAAAAAAAACAACTAGTAAATAACTACTACCTCATTTGTCGTGTAGTTTAGATGTGAAGCAACAAATTAAAGTAATGAAAAAATTGAGTTGAGTGGAATCCACTTTCGCATTGGGCGGCAACTATTGGCGGTTCTTTATTATCCATTTCATTTTGGCGGGATATAGTAATCAATTTACCGCTAAACATCAATCCACTTCGGCTCTATTTATAAGCAATAACATTTATCCATCCACAAAACACAGAGAACTTTAAGTCCACACAACAATGGTGAAAAGAAATCTAAATATTCCAGTGTCTCTCGTAAAACCAATGTCAAATTCAGAGATTTCGAAAATAAAAAAAAAAAAAATTGACAAAAAACCTTCAATTGTACTAAACACATCCACTATAAGCTTGCTCAAAAACAAATACCACAATCAACAAATCAAAACCCAATGAACAAAGGTCTGCTGAGCTTCATTCAGGATCCAAAATTGAAGGATAACAATATGGTGACTTTGAAATTGATTGATTTAGTGGAAGCAACAGCTTGGGTGGCAACTGAAGAAAGGGTTGAGGGAGACCTGGTTCAGATTACACAAAGGAACTACGCTACACCAGCGCATTTACCGGACCTTTCAGACCTGGCATTACATCCAAAGGTTTTTAAGGTCTTCGTACAGTGGTTCATCTCCAACTTTGGTGGTGTCAAGGGGCCTGGTTGTGTGTAACACCCCCAAAATTCGAGTCTTTTAAAACAATAAGAGTAAATTTTTGAACTTTCAAAATCCAACCATCGAACTCTGAGAGTGTTACCACTACACATATTCCCCGTAGAAAATAAATGCAAAGCAAAAACGAAATAATAATTAATAAATTAAGTGGTCTAATTGGTGGCAAAATAAAATAGTCATTACATCAAAACTGCAATTATTTTTAAACCAATAGTTGAAAGAAAACAATTAAGTTCGGAAATAAACTAAAATGTGTTAGCTACGTGATTATTCTAACGTCACCTCACACGTAACCAAGTACCCTCTTACCAACCTGCAAAATAAATCAGAAATAAGAAAAGAGAGAAAACTCCCAAAAATCAGATAAACTGAGTAATTCCAACTTCATCCCGTAAAATCAATAATTTAGTTTGAAAACATATTATACATAATATAGTCTCATAGACATTATAATACTCAACCAAAAACAACTTGTCACATAAAATTTTGTTACTTTAGTTAAGAGAGGGAAAGATAACGCCAATAAGCGGGGACTATTCCTGGTCACCACCTACTTTATAGAGGGTCACGCGTTACCCCAAATGGCCCTGAAATAAATAGAATGTCCCTAGTGTGCACACCCCTTACTAATACCCAGTGATTAGAAGGAAGACTAAGAACAATATACAATAATTTAAACCAACTAGTAGCAACCATAACTACTAGTGGGCAACTTGTTATTCGCCCTTTCGGGTTTCATTTTCCTTCTTAAATTAAATTTCACTGCACATTTTATTAGATTACATTGTCCGATCACATTGAACACAAGTATTGCACAAATCAATTTAATCCGAAGTAACAATATTTCAATTCCAATATTATCAGATTGTAGTCATCCTACATGACATAGAAACTATCGATCACATATAATCCATCATCCAATTTCCAAGATTTTATTTATTTAAAAAAAAACATACGATAACAAATAATCAATTTTTTTTTTTGAAAATACACATAATAGTACACAAAATAGAAAACTCATATATAATATGATATCATACGATAGCACACTCAACACATATAATTATATAAGCATGTATTTGACACACAATATTTCAAAACAATTTCCTAACGGGATTCTAAGATGATGGACATTGAAAATTACCTTGATCGTGCGTAAAACTCAAGGTAATTAACCTCCGGAACGTTCACCTAATAGCCTCCGTCTACAATAAACGATTTTAAGTTAGATAATTATACGACTATATAAAAAAAATTGAGCGTGTGATTAATTTATCACAACCCATAATCTAGTCACCCCAAAATCAAAATA